GGGCAGTTTTTATACCCAAATGTATCACCAGATTAAGACATAGTGCAGTGTGGAAGGGCTAGCCTTCAAGTGTCCAAGTTCAGATGGAACTCAAGGTCCCAAGGCAAGGCTCACAAGAGGGGGCAGAACTTAGAGACTAAGAGAGAGTGCAAGTGCAGAAATAGAATGCTGAAAGGGGGAAAGGGAAAGGGAAACAGTTACAAATAAATACACATAGGGGTATAGGTGAGGTGGTAAAGAGGCAAAGACAGGCTGGTGGGCATATCCAGCAATGGGAAATGCTGGCACACCCATAAGCCTGAAAGAACACACTATTTAGAGATTAGGATCCCAAAGGATCAAGTTTAATTCATGGACAATAACTTACATATTGCCATATCTTAAACCATATGCTCAAACACATAAGGGGGTAGGGAATAGGGATTCATAGCAGAAACAAACAGAAAGAAATCAGTATGCTAATTGAAATATTGATCTCTATAGAAACAATAAGTAGATATATATACACAAACTATAAATAAACACATTGTCATGATGCTGAAGCTTAAATCAAGACATACCAGTTTCAAAGAAACAAGTAAAGAAAAATAGTAGGTCTTGTAAACAGGCCACAGTGCAGACAAGAAGAGAGAATATTATTGTGTGTGAGTATGAGTTCAGAAGGATTGTGTATTGATGAGTTTGTGAAATAGTTGTACATTTATAGTGTGAAAATCAAATGGAAATAAGGTAAGAAAACAGTTAAGGAACTAAATATCAATTAAGAATCAATCACACAAGACTTTCTTTAATCAAGGAATTCAGATTCAAACGGGTAAGAACTATTTAAGGAAAGAAATTAGCTAAGCACTTTGTGCAAAGTAGGCAATTAGGGGTAAATACATAAGAGAGTCATTTAAGGACAGAATTTGAAATATACGGTTGTACAAATAAGGTTAGAAAATCAGTTAGTAGCCAGTAAATCAATGGTCAGGGATCTTGTAATTACTGATCCATGAATGAACCGAGTCAGAAAATATGAGAAAAGGTTTTTTAACTTAAGTCGAATTACAAGGAAATCAGCAAACAATGGAAAGAAATCAATTAGTCCTATTCAAAAGGAAGTCTGAACCAATCATAAATTTGAAAACCCCTTTAGAGGGAGGTTCATCACATATAAAGAGCATACAAACATGTTGAGTTGAAAGAAGATGTTGTGCCATTGCAAAATCAGTAGGTAATGGTTCTCACATAAGTCAGTAATGTAGAAGAGAGATGGCATTTAATAGCATACAAAAGATCCAATGCAAACGATCTTAGAAGAGTTTAGCAAAAAGGTCAGAATCATATGAAAACAAGGATGTCCAAACTCAGTTCAGAGACTCAAAATTGGTCTGAAAGAGTTGAGGGTTTTTGAAATAAAACCCTAGTTCAAGCAAGTCACATAGCCAGACTTGGAGGAACCCCCAAATTCTAGGGTTTCCACCATTAATCGAGTGCCAAGATGAAAGGGCAAGTAGCTAAATCGAAACAGGTTCAGAGGTCTCAAAAAAAAGAACTGAAACTTCTAACAGGTTTCTTTTCAGCAACAGAAACTCATGAGAAACATGATAGAAAAGTAACGTGCAGAACACAGCAGAAGAGCTCAAAGAAAACAGAGTAGGAGAAGCTGATACAAAACATAATTGGAAAAATTGATAAGAACAGTAGAAAAAGCATGCTAAGAAGTTTTAGAAGAGATTTAAACAGAGCTCAGTAGACGGAACTTAATAAGAAACACTTAAGAACATAGTAAAGGAAGATACGGTAGGAGAAACACACAAGGACACAGTGTAGGAAAACACCGTAGAAGAAGCATACAAGAACACAGTATAGGAAAATACAGTAGAAGAAGAATACAAGAACACAGTAGAAGAAAATACAAGGACACAGTAGAGAAAAATACACACACAAAAGGAAAAGAAAGTCAAAGAAACATTTAAATACTTTTCAGAAAACCCTAGATCGGAAAAGAAATGGTTTTGAAAGTAGTTTTTTGAAAGAAAAGCCAGAAAAATCGTTTAAAATCTTAAGGAAAGCATGGATCTGGAACAGATCTAGAGAGATCAGAAAAAGCTCACAACTAGGGTTTTTAGAGGAACCCAAGCGATGAGAAAGGCTTAGATCTAAGCAAGTAGAGTCGAGACCAGACTTCAAAATAGACATAGCTCGCCGGAACGGGGCTGGAGATGGTCGTGGAACTCGAATCGACAGAGGTCTCGACACAACCCTTTATGGTCGAGTCATAGAACTTCAGTTAACCAGACGTAAGGAGCCAAAGGTGGCTTGGTGGGTGGTGAAACCACCATGGATCTAGGTTAGAGGGTGGCCGGAGAAGGTGAAAAGGATTCATCGGAGAGGAGGGGATAGGGGAAGGTTCTAGAGAGAACCAGAGGTTAGAAAGATAGAGACGAGCGAGGGGAAATGAGGGGTATTGGGGGGTCGTTTGATTAAAAAAGGTAAGGGTAGATCTAGACCGTTGATCAAAATTGATCAACGGACAAGATTTGATCCGAGTTGGGCCGGGTAGTTTTAGGAATTGGGTTGGGTGATTTGAAATTGAAATTGGGTTGGATTAGGGGTGCAGGCTGAAATTGAAATGAAATCTGGCTAGATTTTAAATAGCCACTTTTTCCCATTTATTTTATAAAAAATAGCAAATTAAAATCTGAAAATAAATTGAAAGTACTAAAATAATTTATAACATATAATTATCAATTTAAAAATACTGGACTTAATTTTTATAAATATAAATGCAATCAAATCATAAATGAGACTAATATTGCAATTACATGCAGTTGAGCTTTAAAAATACTAAATAAATTTGTAAAAACATGCAAAAATTATCTGGGCTATAGTTTAGCATAAATATGAGAATTCAACAAGTGAATCACCAAGAATGATAATTTTTGACACTTATTGGATTTTCCTTGATGAAATAAGGTAATAAAATAGATTTTAAAAGCCTTTAAAATTAAGGAAAAATAATAAAAATATTTGTAAATACTTATATATGCATACATATGCTATATTGAAAGTATTTTGCATATAAAAATATACAGAAAAAAATTGGGTATCAACAGCTGCTTACAATAATTGCAGAAATTCTTATTACAATTGCTAGCAATATGACCATATTCTTTGCAAGGTGCTCATATACCTGGCCTTTCTTTTTTCCTTGAGCAGCAAATGCAACAGTATGAACACTTTCTTGCTTGAAAGCATTTTGTGTGAAAAGACGTTGCTCTTCACGGAGTAATTCCCTAAAACAAACATCCAAGGAGGGAGGCGGGTCATGATTCATTAAGTTAGAGCGAACACTCTCAATATCAGATCGCAATTTTATCAAAAATGGTCTCACTTGCTTTGCTCGTGAACTGCTTGAATTATAAATAGAGATTCAGCAAATATTTTAGCATAAACAATATCAGTAAATTCATCCCATAAGTTCTGAAATCCAGAAAAATAATCCTGAACAGAGAGACCTCTTTGAGAGTAATTAGCAATTTCGTGCTCTAGCTGAAATCGTCTTGCGCTATTGTCTTGGTTGTAAACCTTTTGTAAATAATCCCACATGGTCTTTGCAGTCTTGTACGGCCTGAGATTAAGAACAATAAGAGGGTCAATTGACCCTAAAATCCATGTCATCACCCGAGCATCTTTGACCTTCCACTGACCTAACTTTGTAAGATCAGTAGGAGCAGGATCACTTCCATCTATATGGCCCCATAATTCTTTTTCCCATGACAAATAATTGAAACTGAAATTCCCAAGCAGAATAATTTTCCAGTAAAACGAATACTGAAGGACTCAAATTGATGTGAAGTCATGTTTTTGAATAGAGAAAATCAAAAACACAATGATACGGAAAAAAAATAGCTAGAATAACCAAGACCAAAAGCCCTAGATGCTTAGGACTGCTTGTTGACGAAAAATCAAGAGAACTAAACTTTCAAAAAAAAATGAAAGGACCACAGATGAAAGACAATAAGAATCAAAATTATGAAAAGAAGGCTCTAATACCATGTCAAAAACAGAGAAAGCAGGAGAGAAGAAATGCTTCGAAAAATTTGTGGACCCCAATCTTACAATATGAGAGAAGTCTAATAGCTAGAATGACCACAAGGATGGGAATGGCAAAGCAAACTTCTTAGGAAGATTAATAGTCTGTTTGGCCAAGCTTTTTGTTGGGCCAAAAGTATTGAGGTGTTTGGCCAAGCTTTTGGAAGGAAAAAAAGTGTTTTTGAGGAGAAGCAGAAGCAGCTTTGGAGAAATAGAAAAAAGTAGCTTCTCTCCAAAAGCACTTTTCTGAGAAGCACTTTTGAGAAAAATACACTTAAAAGCAGTTTTCAAAAACTTGGCCAAATAGTAATTACTGCTCAAAAGTGCTTTTCAAATTAATTAGCCAAACACAAACTACTTCTCACCAAAAGTACTTTTGAGAAAAGCACTCCTCAAAATAAGCTGATTTTAAAAGTTTGGCCAAACGGGCTATAAATAACTTTTCTTGCCGAGTTTAGCAAGCAAATTTAGTTGTTACTTGTGATCTGAGGGAACTTTCCTTAATTCAAGATGATCTGAGCATGTGAGCCAGATGTACTTTACAATAATAGCACTTAAAATATTTGAGTTTGATTTACCAAAGATTGCAGACATTTATTTTTTAAGTGACCTGCTCCCCTAATTTGTTAGAAGTATCCCTTTTTTGGATGGGATTCTTATCCATCCTTCAAAGCAAGCATTTATTGATCGGGCCAAACTTGCTGTTGAAATATACCAGAATCGTATCTGGTTCATTTTTCCTAGAAGGAATGAAGTTTTAGTTTTGCCTCACAATTTGTAGATTAATACATAGACATGCATAAATAACCACTTTATTTTGCAAATAAAATGAACCACAACAGCAGCACAATAGCCAAATAACTAAGGTTCATGCATCAAAATTACATCAATGCATAACTTCTACAATTTGCAAACACTAATTATGGTGTCAAGTCACTCATTGTTTTCACTGCTATTAATATGTACAAAGTCATTCTTTACGGAATGAAAGTTTAATGGAATAAATTCACTTGACAATTGCACCAACAGCAGAACTATTACATTTGCATATAAAAAATAGCTAAGAATTTAAAGAATGGCAGTGAAGCGAGTATTTATTTCTTACAACCCTGGAGCAAATCATAATGTCATTTGATTGCTGTTTATACAGTTTGACTAGCGATTTATCCCTTGGTAGTACTTAGCTTAGAGCACTAACTTATGCCTTGGCAGTAGAGGGTATTGTATCGACAAACAAAGTTTCTATCAAGCTAGTCCCAGCAAATTTCTGCCTAGTGATTTCATCCCACTGTTGGGCCATCTCTAGCGTCAGATTATTTTTCCAATCTCCAACTTGACCTTTCCTCAAGAAATGCCGGTTTTCAACTACAATTGAATTGAAATGGTGCATCACTCCGGTCTGATTTACTTTTAAACTACTCAAACTCTCAAAGCCACAAAGCCTTGCAATCTCCTGCACAACCCCTTCTCTCTCTTCTTCCGAGGTAAAAGGCTTATCCAGGAACTTAGCCAATTTGGTAAGACAAACAATGGGATATTTCTTCATGTCCTCGTACATTAAGAAAAGTACTTTGTCCAGAATTTCCATGCTTGCCTTCCAATAGCCCAAGACATGATCCCAAAAAGGTCCGTAATGTGATACCCCTTTGCAAAACAGATCAAATGCATCTTCGATTGGAAAAGATGGCATTTCATTGGGTTTTACTTTTATCATATAATGCCAAGTTGAAACAAAAACATCTTTAGTCTCACGAAAAATATACACAATTTTGCAACCAGAAGACATCACAGATGCTGGTAACAAGGAGTAAGGGATGTGGGTTGCGAAAAGGCAACATGGCAAACACGAAATTCGATAATCTCGGTAGGAAGTTTCATCTTGTATGATAGATTCCACGAAGGGAATGCAATCATGGGGACCCTTGGCAAGCAAAGGGTGAGAGGAGAAATTGAATAGATTCATGCCGGAGAAAATGAGGGCCTTGAACCATGTTGTTCCTGCTTTTGGGAAAGTAGCTAGAAAAATATCTGTGGGTTGAGCATTGAAGCATTCTTGCACCCTCTTAATACCTTTAATAGCTGCTGGACCAAAAGGACTCGTATTGGTAAAGATGTTTAACCATCCAACCATTTTCTTTGGGAAAGCTTGTGAGCATATCACTGTCATTTTGATCATCTTTCTTGTATTCATTTTCATCACTATGTTCATGCCGAGAACAATGGGAACGCGACATGTCCATGGAGGAGGTCGAAATTTGATAAAGTCTAGACCAAATTAACTCGTGTTCACCTGATCGAGTCAGAACTGAACCCACTGATCTAAAATCTTGTCCCTCTTTGTTGTGAGAAGACTGAAAGGATGATCAGAATGGCTAATAACTCTTCTATTATTCAGAGTATAGCAATAAAAAAACTCAGTTGTGATTTGTGATCTGAAGTAGAAACACTTCCTAATTTAGACGATTTAAAAAAGCATTTTACCATAATAAGTACCAACACTTGCAATGCTTTGACTTAGCTAGCTATCAAATTAATTAAAGTAGTTCTGTTATCTGTATTATTATCCAATTTCCGTGCAGTATTAGTAATTGACAGACATTCAAACATCACTCCTATTCTTCTAACTAAAAACCGTTGGGAAAAGGGTTTAGGGCTTATGTCTTATATCAGAACAAGAGAGGAAATCTGGAGAGAAACAAAGGGAACTTACTTCTTAAATATTTTTTTGCAGGGAGATCGTGAAGTTCGCCGGAGAAATAGAGAATTCGCCCGGAGAGAGATCGGGAAGAACAGATATACTGTGCCTGTAGCTAGTAGTGTGTATGCAGACCTTACCCCTGGGTAGAGAGACTGTTTCCAAATAGACCCCCGGCATCCCACCTTGCTCTTGGGGAGACTCGAACTCACAACCTCTTAGTTGGAAGTGGAGGTTGCTTACCATCAGAGCAACCCCTCTTGTCAACATTATCAAAATTTTATCTCATACATTATCTAAATGATTGTGCGTCACTGAAAAATGTACATAAAGTAGTTTTTCAAGGTATAACACTTTACATAGAAAATAACTTCATTTAAAAACATTTTGCCCATGTCAAACGAATTTAATAAGTTCTCGAAATAGAAAAATATAAAACTAAAGTTCCTACTTTGAAAGAGGGATAAATTCAAAGCGACTGCCTTTAGGTTTCATCTGGCTTCCCTTGTGGTTAGATATTAAGCCTATCTTTCTTGTTTGGCCAAATACATATTTGCCCGAAAATCCCATTTAGACATTTCAACTTAACTTTGTTCCAATTAAAAACAATACTATGTTCATATCCATACCTATAATTAGGCACAACTAGCTGACGTGGTTCACAACGTGGGTCGCATATCATTTGAACGAGTGAATGTTATTACACGTAGACTTTAATGGTAATATTTTAAAAAACAAAATAAATATATACCTATTTAGACCCACCCGATTTTATATAAATCCTACTTTCATTCCCTTTCTTTTAGTTCTGCCCCAATTGCTTCCAAATTAGGTCAAAAGACATTTTCTTGTTTCTAATTCTTCGTCGTTTCTTTCCAATTCTTCTTCGTTTCTTTGTAATTCTTCTGAATTTCTTTCTAATTCTTGCCTATTTCCTTCGTCAAAGCAGTTTTAATGTCGAACTCGTCGAGTTCGTCGAAGGCACCTCCCACTGATGTTGTATACTGTAACTGCGGTCAATTAGCAAACCTCAAGATATCATTAACTGATCGTAACCCAGGTCGAAGATTTTACAGTTGCAAAATTGGAAAGGCAAGCTTAATTCACAATGATAAATCGAAAAGAATAAACTGGAAATACAGCGAGAATCGAAGGTAATTGATGAAATTTTTCTAGGGACTTTTCGGACCTCTAATCGCCATTCTTCAATTGGGGTTAACGGGGAGAGAGAGCAATGAACGGGTCTTTTAGTTTTAAATGGGATGACTATTTAGAAATCTGATGTGGCGTATTAAAACAGCTGGCATCTTTTAATTAGTTAGCTTTCCACGTCAGTTGGGCTTAAAAACATGCGCTTCAGGACATCGTATCCTTAAGTTCGAAAATTGTGTCCAAAAAATTCGAATCTTATATCCTAAATTTTAAATTAGTCGTTCAGAAATTCAGGACACTTTGTCTTGAATTTTAAATTAGCAGCTCAAAAATTCAGGACACTAAGTCCTGAAGTTTGGGTGAATTGGTAAATACATTGTAAATTATAAATATATTTTAAATAGCGGGCTTAAAAGTGGCGATTGTTGCACAGGGTCTTTTGCATCTATACCCGATTTTGGGGTCACAATTGAACCTATACCCACTTTGCAAAAAAGTTTGCAAGCGTGATCAACTTCAGATTTATCGGGTCTGAAGTTAAAAAAAGGCCTGAAGTGAAAAAATTGCACTTCAAATGCACTTAAGGCCAAATAGATCTGAAGTGCAACCAATGATTTCATGCACTTAAGGCTAATAAGTCTGCACTTCAGATGCACTTAAGGCTAATAAGTCTGAAGTGAAAAGTTGCACTTCAGATGCACTTGGCCAAAAAGTCTGAAGTGCAACAAACATTTTTATTCACTTAAGGCCAATAAATCTGAAGTGAAAATTTGCACTTCAGGTGCACTTAAGGTCACATATGTCTGAAGTGTAACCAATTGTTTCATGCACTTAAGGCTAATAAGTCTTGAAGTGAAAAATTGCATTTCAGATGCACTTAAGGTCAAAAGGTCTGAAGTGTCACCAACGTTTTGCTACACTTAAGGCCAATAAGTCTAAAGTGAAAAAATTGCACTTCAGATGCACTTAAGGCCAAAAAGTCTGAAGTGCAACAAACGTTTTCATTCACTTAAGGCCAACAAGTCTGAAGTGAAAATTGTCTAGAAACAGAAATTTGCTTTTCGAATTATAACAATTCAATATACAATTTAATACCTAAATGTACTCCAAATGAGCTCAAATTTGAAACATAACCTCCAAATATCATCAGGAACAAACCCCAATCATCAATTTGTCAAAACAACAATAAATGTAATGAACCCATTTTGCAATTAAGAAAAATAAGAAGAAGAAACCCTAAGCAATAGTAAAAAATAAAGCGTCATAACAGCTCACTATTGTAAAACATCATAAACAACATTAAAATATATTCACAACTACCATATAAAATCATTGTCACCCGAAGAAGAAGAAGAATGAAGAAGAAGAAAAAGAAGAAAAGGGAGAAGAAGAAGGAGGAGAAGGAGAAAGAGGCCTGAAGTTGTTTAAAAAGTGGGTACAAATTAAAACGTTTCTAAAATGTGGGTATAGGTTAAATGGGGGCGACCAAATAGGGTGTCCCGTGTAATTTTTACTGTTGCACTTCGTCCACTATTTTAGCAATTTTCTATTATAAACTTTTGAAATTAATTTATTTATGAATATTAGAGGAATGTTTCATCGTGTTCCTCTAGAAACAAATTCAAAAGAACCTTAATTTGTTTCAATACCCGGAGATTTCAAACCAAAAGCGGCTTCTAAAAAACAATTCTAAGTAAAAGATGTAGTGGAAGAAGGAAACCGGGAACTTAGAAACTGAATGGTCCTCTAGCAACTCTCTCGCACCAGTAAATCCAGCTCCAACAAATAGTTGCAGCAAATGGCAACAGAAATGCAACTGAAAACATCAGCAACTGGAATGATATTCAAGCTTGGAGGAATTTGAATCAGTATAGCTATTACAATGACAGAATTAAAACAGAAAATCAGTATAACTATTACAATATCGATCCCCAGAATCATTTCCCTAGAAGGAATGAAGTTTTCAGTTTTGCCTCTCAATTTGTAGATTAATACATAGACATGCTATTAATAGGTTTGAAGTCATTCTTTTCAAAAATGAAAATTTAATGGAATAAAATCACTTCACAGTTACATTAGCATATAAAAAGGCTAAGAATTTAGAGAACCACACTGAAACAAGTATTTATCTATTTATTACAACCTGGAGCAAATTCATAATGGCATTGTTGATACTGTTTGACTAACGATTAAGGCCTCGCTACTGTACAATAGAGCACTAACTTATGCCTTGGCACTATAGGGTATTGTATCACCAAACAAAGTTCCTATCAAGCTTGTCCCACCAAGTTTCTGCCTAGTGATTTCATCCAACTGTTCGGCCATCTCTGGTGTCAGGTGGTTTTTCCAGTCTCCAACTTGACCTTTCCTCAAGAAATCCCGGTTCGCAACAGTAAATTGTGGACTCAAATGTTGCACTCCGTTCTGTTTCACTGCCAAACTGCTCAAATTCTCAAAGCTACAAAGCCTTACAATCTCCTGTACAACTCCTTCTCTCTCTTCTTCCAAGCAAAAAGGCTTATCCAAGAACTTAGCCAATTTGGAAAGACAGAGAATGGGATCTTTCTTCATGTCCTCGTACGTCAAGAGAAGTACCTTGTCCGGATTTTCCATGCTTGCCTTCCAATAACCCAACACTTGATCCCAATACGGTCCATAATGTGACATGCCTTTGCAAAACAGATCAAATGCATCTTTGATTGAAAAAGATGGTAGTTCTTTGAGTCTTACTTTTGTCATAAAAAGCCAATTTGAAACAAGAACATCTTTGGGCTCGCGAAAAACATACACAATTTTGCAACCAGAAGACATCACAGATGCTGGTAACAAAGAGTAAGGAATGTGGGTAGCAAAAAGGCAACATGGCGAACACGAAATTCGATAATCTTGGTAGGAAGTTTCATTTCGTATGATGGCTTCCAAGAAGGGAATGCAATCATGGGGGCCCTTAGTAAGTAAAGGGTGGGAGGAAAAATCAAATCGGTCACGATTCATGAGGGAAAAGATAAGGGCCTTGAACCAGGTTGTTCCTGATTTTGGGAAAGTAACTAGAATAGCATCTGTAGGTTGAGCTTTGAAGCATTCTTGCACCCGCTTAATTCCTTTAATAGCTTCTGGAGTAAACCAAAAGGATTGGTATTGGTAAAGATGTTCAGTGATCCAACCTTTTTCTTTGGGAAGGGTTGTGAGCATATCACTGTCATTTTTATCAGCTTTCTTGTATTCATCATCAAGTTCATGCTGAGAACAACCGGAAAGCGACATATCCACTGAGGAGGTGAAATCTGATAAAATCTAGAGTAAATTCGTGTTCACCAGCTCGAAGTGGAGCTGAACCCACACCCACTCATCAACAAAGGCTTGTCCCCCTTTGTTGTGAGAAAACTGAAAAATGATCAGAATGGCTAATTAATCTTCTGTTGCTCTGACTTTATCAATCAAAACTCAGCTGTGATTTGTGATCTTAAGCAACATTTTTGTAATAGAGATGAAAATGTGAGCCAGATGCACTTTACCATAATAGCACTTAAAATATTTTAGACTGAGATTTACACAAGGTGAGCATGTTACTGACCAGACCAACTTGCTGTTGAAATATCACAGAAACGTTTCTGGTTCAAGTTCCCTCATAATTTGTAGACCAATACATAGACATGCATAGATAACTAGTTTGTTAGCAAATGAAATGAACCACAACAGCAGCAAAATAGCCAAATAACTAAGGTTCATGCATCAAAATTTATCAATGCACGACAACTTCTAAAATTAGGAAAACAAACTAGAGTGTCAAGTCATTCATTGTTTCTCCTGCTATCAATGAAGTCATTCAGAACAAATATTAATTAATTTAATAAAATCACTTCACAGCTGCAGCAACTGCAGAACAATTACATTTGCATATAAAAAAGCTATGAATTTAAAGAACAGTAGTGAAACACGTATATTTATTATAACCTGGAGCAAACTATAATGTCATTTTGATACTGTTTGACTAGCGATTAATGCCTTGCTACTGTAGCATAGAGCACTAACTTATGCCTTTGCAGTATAGGGTATTCTATCACCAAACAAAGTTTCTATCAAGCTTGTCCTAGCAAGTTTCTGCCTAGTGATTTCATCCAACTGTTCAGCCATCTCTGGTGGTGTCAGGTGGCTTTTCCAATCTCCAACTTGACCTTTCCTCAAGAAATGCCGGTTCGCAACAGCAAATTGTGGACTGAAATGTTGAACTCCGGTCTGATTCACTTCCAAACTGCTCAAATTCTCGAAGCTACAAAGCCTTACAATCTCCTGCACAACCCCTTCTCTTTCTTCTTCTAAGGAAAAAGGCTTGTCCAAGAACTTAGCCAATTTGGTAAGACAGATAATGGGATCTTTCTTCATGTCCTCGTACGTCAAGAAAAGTACCTTGTCCGGATTTTCCATGCTTGCCTTCCAATAACCCAAGACCTGATCCCAAAAGGGTCCATAATGCGACACGCCTTTGCAAAACAGATCAAAAGCATCTTTGATTGGAAAAGATGGTAGTTCTTTGAATCTTAATTTTGTCATAAAAAGCCAATTTGAAACAAGAACATCTTTAGGCTCGCGAAAAACATACACAATTTTGCAACCAGAAGACATCACAGATGCCGGTAACAAAGAGTAAGGAATGTGGGTAGCCAAAAGGCAACATGGCGAACACGAAATTCGATAATCTTGGTAGGAAGTTTCATCTTGTATGATGGCTTCCAAGAAGGGGATGCAATCATGGGGGCCTTTGGTCAGCAAAGGGTGGGAGGAAAAATTAAACCGGTCACGATTCATGAGGGAAAAGATAAGGGCTTTAAACCAGGTTGTTCCTGATTTTGGGAAAGTAACTAGAATAGCATCTGTGGGTTGAGCTTTAAAGCATTGTTGCGCCCTCTTAACTCCTCTAATAGCTGCTGGAGTAAACCAAAAGGATTGGTATTGGTAAAGATGTTCAGTGATCCAACCTTTTTCTTTGTTAAGGGTTGTGAGCATATCACTGTCATTTTTATCAGCTTTCTTGTATTCATCATCAAGTTCATGCTGAGAACAACGGGAAAGCGACATATCCACTGAGGGGGTGAAATCTGATAAATCTAGACCAAATTCGTGTTCACCAGCTCGAGTATGAGCTGAACCCACACCCACTCATCACTCATCAACAAAAGCTTGTCGCCCTTTGTTGTGAGAAAACAGAAAAATTATCCGAATAGCTAATTAATCTTCTGTTGCTCTGACTTTATCATTAAAAAATCAGCTGTGATTTAGTGATCTTAAGCAACATTTTCGTAATAGAGATGAATTAAGAACGCAATTCACCATAATAATAGTACCTGCTATATTACTTTAACTTAGCTAGCTATTAAAACAATGTAGCGATGTCAGACATTCAAACATCTCTCATATTCTACTAATTAAAAGCAATTGGGAAAGGGTTTAGGACTTTTTGGTATCATCTGAACAAGAGAGGAGGAAATCTGGTGAGAAACAAGTGGACTTACTTCTTAGATTTTACGGCGAGTTCGTATAGTTCGCCGGAGAAGAGAGAAGACTTGACGCTGCAAGTTCGCCCGGGAAATTCGTGTTTCTGTGTTTGGTACTTGAGAAATGTTTGACTTATGTTGGGAAAAATGTTTTTCCACCAAAAATATTTTTTTTTTAGCAAAAGTTAAAAATGACTTATCTCCTATGTGTAATCAATTTATTTTTCTCAACAAATATCCAAAGCTTTCTACAATGTCACTTATGTTTTTTAGTTATCTAAAATTCACTAACCCAACTAAAAAATTTAAGAAAGAAAATCTCATTCATCCCACCATATTATTTGGCAATCACTACTTATCTATCATTGTTATAACACTTGTACATTGGGGGATGCAATCAAATTTTATTTTTTCTACCTTATGCCAGCCCTAGCATAATTACTACATGTTATATGAATTTTGCACCCAACACCGAAAATGTACAAATTCAAGGTCTGCAATTTCCCCACAAAATAATTCTCACGACAAACATTTTCCTCCGTAACAGACGAATTTAGTAAAGTCGGAGAAACAGAAAAATCTAAAACTAAAATTCAGATTCTTAAAAGAACTGTACTAAATTAAATTTTAAGTTCAGAATCTAACTTGTCCGTCAACTTCCTTATCCAAAACAAAGAAAAGATTGTCCACCAACTTGTACTCCCTATTGAAAACATTATGAATTGAGTAGGAGAAGAGAAAAACTCCATTAGGGTTTCATGCTTACATTGAGAGAGAATTGGGTCTGTATATGTTTGTAACGGATGATAGGCTATAATTACATATTTTAGTCGCTTATTACACTCAAATTTACTGCACTTTAATTGAGTTTGAGCTTTAATAGCTAGTGTCTTGAACTAATTGTGTGTTTTATGCCTTGAAGTAGTGATTCCGAGCTATGTAGATGTTATGAAATGAATTCAAGTGATTTGGACTTTGAAGTATGAGTAAAAGCCCAAGGAATTAAGCCGGGATCAGGGATCAACGAACGATAGAGCAACAAAACGAAGAATCGAGTAGGCATATTGTGCATTGTCTAGTAAAATACACATAACTTTTCGCGCAGAACTCTATTTGGGCTCCACAATATATGGTTGGAAAGCTAACTCAAATAGCTACAACTTTCATGTTTTACGTTTTTCCAACTTCCAAACAGAACAGGGTGAAATACGCGGTCGAAACCGCGACTGCGAACCTAACGCGGACTGAGGCAGTACACCGGGAAAGTACCGCGCCCGAACCGCGGACGTCCAGGCCTGGAAACTTGTCCTTTTTCGCGTAGGAGAAGGTATAATTATTTGGGCCCGACCTTACTTGGTATATATACATGGAAAAATAGTATTTTGAAGGGAGGAGACCAATTTTTTACACAGATTCGACCTAAGGAGGCAGAGACACAATAGGAGCAAGACGGGGAATTCTTCTACGAATTTTTCCTTCCTCTTCCTATTTTTTCATTGTTTATTATGACTTTTAGTATTATAGTTTTACCTACTATTATGAATAGCTAATTTGTTAATTAGGGTTTTGATTGAACCTTTTGTAGGATAAATTCTTGTTATGTTTTTTTTATAATTGAGTCGTAGTATTTTCTCTATTTGTTCAACTATATTATTCTTGTGGTTGATTGAAGGGCCCTCACTTAGCTATGCCTATTTAGTGTGTATTACTCGGGAGAGAGTGCATGTTTAGGTAGTTGTTGAACAACATCACTCCCGACGTATGTGAGGAATCAATAACCAAGGGTTTAAAGGTGGGATTAGGGATAACGAAACCTTGGGTGCGATCTAAGTGAGCTGTAATTAAAGCCAGCTAGCGTAACTCGGGAGAGTATGTCTAGTAAATTTTCGTAATTACTCGGGATAGAATTACAACACGCAAAGCGTTTATGATAGGTAGAGAATACTTAGGCGAAATTATAGAAGACATAGCGGGAATGATTCTGACAATTGAAGAAATCATAACTCTAGACCTCCTTAATCTTTTCCCCAACCTGTAGTATCTTTAGGATTAATTTACTATTTTAATTTGTTAGTTAATTAGTTAAACACAAGAATCTTAATATCTATAAGTTAGGAACTGTTTAAGCTTGTCTTCTTGGTGATAGTGAACAGTTGTAGCAGGCTTTAGTTCTCTGTAGGATTCGACTCCGGACTTGTGAACCGGATTATATTTGCAACGACCGTTTAGTCCTTTTTATAAGGCATAGTTAGGTGTGATCAAATTTTGGCGTTATTGCTGGGGAACTAACGGTGTAGTTGTAGGTGTACATATTTTTAGGTTGCAAGTTTGAACTTGTGAGCACGTGATTTTTGCCCTGTATATGAATAATTCCCGAAATTCCAACAAAATAATTTTTTCTTTATTTTTACAATTCTTGTGAATTTTGGTGGCATTTTGTGTTAATTATTGGCATCTTATTTGTGCATGTTAATTCATATAAAACACAAAGAGTATGCATTTGCATTTAGGTTTTAATTTTTATATTTAGTACCAATTAAGGGATAATTTGTTTAGAACAAAGCATGAAAATCACAAAAATAGTTCACTTTTGCATTTTTAATGATTTTTATTGTGAATTTGTCACGAAATAGTTTTTGAACAATTTTAGGAATTAATTAGTCTTTGCTTTAAAACAATCATGATTTCATGTTAGTTTTACATCTTTATAAAAATTATAAAAAAATTATTATAAAAATTGTAAAAGCAAGAAAAGAAAATAAGATTAGAAATTAGGGTCTTAATAAAAGACCCAAATTTGGGCCAAATTAAGGGGATTTCTCAGGCCCAAACGCCTCAAAATCATTGCAAATTCAGTCCAGCCCAAGTCCCTACCCGGTCTGCCCCCCTTCTAAACGAAACAGTGTCGTTTCGGGGCCTCTGAATCAGGACCGTTGGATCTCATCAATCCAACGGTCCTGATCTAACTAGGTTAGCTGTATTTAAGTGTCCGAACTTCCCCCCTACCCCCATTTGCCTAGTCTTCCTTACCCCACCCTTCCCCTCAACAAACCTTAGCTCGCGCCGCCATCAAACCCCTCGCCGGCAGTGAACACAAACTACGTCGTTCACTCCGAGGTTAACACCACAGATCCCCCTCACTCTCCTCTTTCCGTTGCACCCATTGGTGTACCTCAAACAAGGCTGGAACTCGTCGAATCTTGGTTTGAAGTTTTCCGGCCAAGTGACAAGTTCGTCCAAATCAGTCCAAAATCACACCCCACAAACCCCGGCCCTTCCTCAACACTAATCCATGGCTATTTTCTTTCAAATCACCGTGAAACGGCCCAAATCTTAGATCTAAGAATTTTGGGCCAAACCCTAAAACCAAATCCTTTTGATTTCGAACCGTAGTATCCTTAACCATGTGTTCTCTTGTAAGAACACATGGTTAGGGATGTTACGCATCAAAAATCTGAAAGGATTCAGATGTTTCTGACTGGCCGGAGTCCCTCATGCCTTTGTGAGTTTTTACTGCTTCTTTTTGCTCGCACGTTTGAAGTGTTATTTGCAGTTGTTGTTTCGTTAATTGTTCTGTTAATTTTATGATTTAATTGTATTAGTTTAAGTTCTGTTAATTACTGTTGATTCTGAGTTTGATATTTGGTTGAATGATTGTAAGTTCATGGTTTAAGAATTAGTTTAAGTTCACTTAATATTGATCATGTTAGCCTAATCTCAGTTAATTTCGTTTAACTTGATTGAGCTGGTATAATTGAACAAATTTGGTTTTGGTCAGTATGATTAGTTAGTTTCTGAATGCTAATTAATTAACTTCAGTTAGTTTTAGACTGGGTTAGGGTATTGGGTATAGTTGTTAAGGATGAGGGTAGTTTCAGTAATTTTAAGAGGCTTTCAGGGGTAATCTGGGTATGGAAAAGGGTAGTTCTGGTAGGAATAGTAATATCAAGGTATATGGAAGGGCAGTATAGGTATTGTATGGGTAGAGGAATACCCTAGGGCCTTCTAGAATGGGGTACAAGTGTAGATTTTAATAATTGTAAGGCATTTACGGATTTAGCAAGTTAAGAATAGAGGGACCAAACTGAAAATAGGGAGGGACTGATTTGAAAATCAGAATCTGATCTATTCTCCTTGGGGTTGCCTATAAAAAGGCATGAAATGCCTTGGAAAAGGGGTTCTCTTTTTCTTCTGCCTGGAGCCCTGAGTTTCAATTTGAGTTTTTATTATTGCTTTTGATTTCAGTTAGCATTTTAATTCCAAAACTATTCAGAAAACAAAAACATCAAAAAGAATGGAGAAATCCGAAACAACTTCACAGTTTCATTACTAGTTTTTTGGACTTCATCTGGGTTTTGGGGTTTAGCAGTATAGCAGGTTTGTTTGGTTTCAGCTGTGAGGGTCAGGAGTATATTTGGAGTATGGGTTTAATTGATCTGTGGGGGCTGCATGTATTTCTGATTTTCAAAAGTGTTTTCTGGCCTGTCTTGGGGTATATATTGCTGAGTTTACTGCTGTTGTTGTTGCAAGTAGCTCACTCCTCTCTTCTCTTTCTACTTACATTTCAATTTCCAGGTATTCATTCTGTAGCTCTCAAGTTTATGGAATTGAAGTAAACATGTTGTCTGAAGTTGATCTCTGAATTTTTCATGTTTTTTTTGTTTAACTTAATACATAAAACAGTTAGCTCACGCATGTCCTTTAGGTAATAGACTAATCCTGGTCTGGTTTGTATAATTGGGATTGATGAACTGTCAAGCATGAGTTTGATCATTTTAATTAGTAAGTGGGAACTTTGGTATTTAGATTCGTGTATGTAATCAGGGTTGTGGACTGTTTGGTCATGTTTATGCAATTGTATTTTTTAGTTTGTTTAAGTTCCACAGTCTGCTGAAGTTAAGCTGCAAAGTTGTAATTGATTTGGAGTTCAATACGCATGACTGCTTTTAATTTTGGGCTAACATGAATTGTACAATCAACGGCTTCATACTAGGCCAGTTTTGGGCCTGGCGTACTAGCAGGCAGCCTAGATTTCTGGTTAGGTGATAAATCGAATTAGGGCCTAGGTGCATTAAGGCTTGAGAAGTTAGTTAAATCAAAAGGTGCCCAAGGATTCGATCCCTGGGCTGTACGTGCAAGTTAAAATTTTGGACATGCCTTATACCCGACGCCTAGCACTCTAAAGGCCTGTGCCTGCAGCATGGCAATGGCGTGATTTGGACTTCATGGGCTTGGAGCCCATTTTTCTCAGCATTCCTTCCCGGATGTTCAAATCCAAATTCAACAAATTTTAGGCTTAACCAATTAGGACCCTTAAGTGATTAATAGCATAATTATCTCACCATTTAGATTTGGAAAGGTTGTTTAGTGAATTTCACCACCTTCCCCAAAATAACAATACGTTAGAATCTTGAAGCGCGACTTACTTAAAGTACCTTCTTAAACTCGGGTGCGCATTGATGCGACCCAAATCCAAATCTCGACAAAGTCAAAATGTGTTGACAATCATGGGTGCATTGATTGCGACGTGGTTTGAAACGTGTTTTCATGACGTCGTAATTCCTAAAAATAAAT